ACTACTTGGGTACGATCTTCTGCTGTTACTCCATCAAGAAGCTTGTTTTCGTAAAACAATCTATTCCAAGTAAAAGCAGACATGATTAATAAAACACATAATTTTCTCTTGCCCCAGTGAGCCAAATCCTAGGATTCGAAAATAATTTTCAAAGCTGCGATAACCTCGACTGGGGCCAAGGACTAAAACAAAAGAAAAATAAAACAAACGAAACAAAGCAAACAAACAAAAACATTCACGACGACGATCAGATTTATAAGTAATCGCTTCCAATGAGAAATGCTTTACCCGCTCCACATGATAAGATTTGTACCTCAGTGTCAGGTCACCAAGAGAAGAAATGCACATGTAACACGTACCTGTTTGATATAGCACTAATGGCGGGGTGACAACGGTACTGAAAATAAGACCAAACGAGAATCAGTCACTTTGATCTTATTAGTAATAGTAACTGGATCGAGTGGAGTACAATTCAGCGAGAAATCACGCGAATAATTTCAATTTGAAATTACGAGCACGATTTCTCCCTGAATTGAACAACACAAGGTCCAATTACTAATTGATCGTATCTATAACAAATTTCGGAATTAAAAATGTCTTTTGAGAACTTCTTTTGAGCGAAAACGTTTGTAGCGTGTTTCATAAGTTTTGAAAACTGTAGGAAACATTGCAAAGAAAGCCATTAAAGCGCGTGCAATTGACGTACGAATCACGTCGGTATTCAATTACAGGTGTCCAATTACAAAAAGTTCAAATTAGATACCTATAATTGGACACCCACGTGATCGCGCGTCGATTACGTGGCAAATAGGTGCGCGGAGAACCAATCACGATCAAGAATTTTGTTATAGATACGATTACAAGTATAATACTATGATAACACTTTTGCCAGCCTAAATGTGCCATAACACATTCGTAATTCTAAGAATTCCTTCGCTCACTTTATATCTTCTGCCACCTCATGCTCATGGTCTATCATCCGATAGTCCCTCGTGGCTTTTATGGTAAAGTTGTATAGAAACTCCACCTAAGAAATTCGTCAATTCAGTCAAATCACGGGGACTGGAATACCCGGCGTAATTTCAAAATATACTCATTAAGAGGAGTATTACCTGTGTTCTAAGCATAGTAGGCTCATAACCCTGAAACGCAAAAATAACACCAAATGCATGTCATACAGTACGTGAGTATTAATTTTGAACTGTTATTATTTTCACGTAAGTTAGATCCTGGTGGTGGTGGTGGTGG